GAAAAATCCATGCAGATTTCTCCTCTTTGGCAAAGCTTGTTTCCTCACCAGAGTATTTCTCCATGAACATGGTTTATTTTCCCAACTGGTTTTATTTCCTCAACAGATTACAGTCTCCCCAGTTTGAGTCTATTCCTCAGATGGATATAAATCACCAGCAAAATTCCTCTCCCCAGTGAAGTCACCACTATCCCCAGAGAGTTTCTACAAAAATCGGACCAGATATCAGACAACTTTATCCTCCTCAGACGAGTCAGAAGGTTATCCATCTCTTTTATCCCCAGTCAGGGTATATGGGAATTAAACTCTTCATACGAGTCAGAAGGCCATCCATCTCTTTTATTCCCAGTCAGGGTATATAAAAATTAAACTCTCCAGTAGAGCGATGGACGACTGATGTTCCTAAACTCTTCTCCCCAAACAGAAGTCAACATTCCCCAGCGGAGTTTCCTCAAACAGTAAACATGAATCCACAATGGAAGCATTCTGGACAAGGTTGAAGATTACACATGTCCTTCATCCCTAGCACCAGTCAGGGATTCACTTTGCCCAACAAGATGCCATACGGAACTGTTGATACATTTCCAACAACATTTCACATCCATACATCATTTACCAATATCATAGCATACGCATATGAAACGCATATAACACATGCTCATTTATTTTGAGAACATCATTACACAATGCATTTCATACATCATGACATTGCATACAACTAACTATTTACCTTTTCAGGAAAGATCAATCAACAGAAGAATATCATCAACAATTCTCAAATAGGTCCAAGATTAATTCCCGAAACAAGACGGGGCAACTATCTCTACAACCAACAAAAAGTAGGTTCCAAATTAATTCCCAAAACAAGATGGGGAAACTATCTATACAATCGAGCAAAGATTAACTCTCGAAACAGGACGGGGAAACTTTCTTTCTTTCTTTATGGTCAGTTGAAGATCAATTCCCGAAACAAGACGATGCGACTATATTTATCACCAAGTGGTATGAACTCCCGAAACAGGACGAGTTTACCAACAAAAACAGATTGTAGATCAATTCCTAAAACAGGAGGGGGGGACTATCTACATGACGAACACTTCCTTCAAAGACTTTTTGTCTCATATTAAATTAACCATGTGTTTGTTTTGATACTTCTCCCAGTTAAAGACGGACGCAGACATCTTCTGGCTCAGATTAAATCGGCCATAGATTTATTCTAATACTTATTCTAATAGACTTTTCTGGCTCAAATTAAATCGACCATAGATTTACTATGATACTTCTCCCAGTTAAAGACGGATGCATACATCTTCTGGCTCAGATTAAATCGACCATAAATTTATTCTTATACTTCTTCCAGTAGACATTTTTTGGCTCAGATTAAATGAAGTGTAGATTTATTCTGATACTTCTTCCAGTCAAAGCCGAGCGTAGACTTAGTCTAAGTTCTATCAATAGTTGCTTTGGATGGCATCTATAAGACCATATCCTAAAACTCTCCATCACCTCTCCAAATGACATCTTTAAGCCTATTTTCAGTATAATCAACCAACAACATTACTTTGGGCACATGGGAGTGCAAATTTCTGGGCACTTAAGTGTTCAATCATCTTCTACCTTCAAGTAACGAGTGGCAGACATGCCGATCTAACTCTCTAGGTTTAAGAAGATTGAATAGGGGCAACTGTTGTACCCCAAAATTTTCCCTCCCATTTTCTTCAAATCATTCTTCTAAGATTCTCAAATACTCAAGGATTCTTAAGAGTTGATCAGATAAACTCACCTCCTAAGCAATGGGTCCAACGCTAGGGTTTCATCTTGTACAAGGAAGAATGGGTTGCAAGGGTCTCAAATAACTTTCATGGTTCATCATAGATCCTCAATAATACTTATGTCAAGTTTCAAGTCTTGCATCACATGTTTGCTCAGTCAATGACTCAGATGATTAAAAATCAATTATATTGGGTAAAAAGTCAACTGTGGTCAACATACTGTCAAACTTCAAGATTTTTGTCAACATAAACATTTTGAGGTGATATTCACCATTTTATCAAGGATTGACCATGATTCCTCAAGGAAAGCCCTCAAGTCATCAAAAGTCAAAAATTACCAAAATTAGGGTTTTGACTAAAGATGACTGATTATTGAGTGTTGACCTAGTGTATGACCTAATAGCTTAAAGCATGATCTTAAAGACTCAAATAAAACATATTGACCTAATTACATGGCTCAAGACATTTTTAAAGATGCAAGTAATTGATAGTTGAAAATTTGAATCAATTGATGAAAAGTCAACACTCACTCAAAAGTCAAACTTTGACTTTGTGGTCAAACATTGGAATTCAAAAGTCAAGAATCATCAAGACATTCAAAATTATCAAACTTGATCATCAAAAATAAAAAATTCAACAAAATTCAAAAGTCAAGATTTTCAAACACTTAGAAAAAAATTCAAGTGTTTTGTACCTAAAAAAACCTAACTTCACAAGCAAGTTTCCTCAAGATACAAGTTGATTTAAGGAAAACTTTCAACATGAAAGTTGTAGGGATTGATGAATTCTACAACTTTAATAATGTGGGGTGATCCTCAAAAATTGTTTAACTTAAGAGATATGAGCCCATGAAGTTCTGATTATTTTTACCAACACTTAGAAAAAATTTCTAAGTGTTTTGTTCTTAACAAAGTCACTACTTTATGGCCATTTTTCACTAAGATCCAAATTGATTTCGCAAAAACTCACAACATGAAAGTTGTAGATCTTGATTCAAGCTTTCCAAAATTTCCAAGAACACGTATTTATCATATTTGAGCTAGGAGATTCGAAGATATGAAGTTGGACATCCATTCTTGAATTTCAAGTCATTTTGTGAAGAACTCAAGAGCAAATCTCATAACCTTATCATTCAATCTCACTTTTCAGCCCATTTTGTTTCTAAATCTTCACATAATCAAAGATTTACATAAAATTATGGTGCATTTACACAAAGATTTGAAGCTTTATCCACTTTAATCACATCCATTTTTAGTAGACTTCTGCGAGAATTTACGAAAATATTACACAGAAATAGATAAGTGTGGACATCAGAAATACTGTGCCAAATTAAAATTGAAAGATTATAAAAATCATACTTTATAGTGTAGACATCCCCAAAATTGCTTCCCAAATATTTTGATTGTTGTTTCCATTCTAAGCACAATCAAATTTCCACATAAATAATTAGCACTCCATTGCTTCTTTGAAGAGATGAATAACCACTGGATTCATAAATGTTATTGTCTTCTCCATAATTATCAGAATCTTTTGAAAACATATACAAATTTGAAGATACCATTCTTTTACTTCGTTCTGAAAATGGAGATGCCCTAACTCGTAAGGTTGCAGAAGACGTACTTGATGGGGTTGAAGAAAAAAACAAAGAACCTTAAACGTAAGGTTGAAGAAGAAGAACTTCAGTTGTATAAGGTGTATATGATGAGGTTGAAGAAGAAGATGAATGCACCATAATTTGCAGGTTAAAGAAGAAGAACGTCTGAATTTCAAAATGTTTCGAGGACTCCACTATGAGCTTCCAATGTTTTTAACGTGTGATCTTACGTGACAACCACATCTTGTTGACTAGGACAAAACGTTTTAAAAAATTAATAATGTATAAGAAAAATGACTCAGAAGGATAAATTTGAACAATTAGTAAAGTTGATGGGTCAACTTGATCGTTTTTAAAATTAAGGGATATGAACCTTGACCTAAAGGTACGGGAGAAAAAAAGATATTAATGCTCTATTTGGTAAAAATAGCAGTTGACTGATAAGCTAACTGATAGCTTATGACGGATGACTGTTGACTAATAGCTTATGGCTCTGTTTGGAAGAAAAAAATAGTTGGATGATAAGCTAGCTTATAGCTCATAACTTATGATTGATGGCTGATGACTGATAGCTTATAACTGATGATTGATGGCTAACGACTTATAACTGATAAGCTAATTGAAGTGTTTGATAAGATTAGCGGTTCAATTAGTTGATAAATTAAAATGACATAAAAGACATTTAATATATATAATTATTTTATTTTAAATTAACAAAAGGTATTAGTGGATTTTAGATAAAATAATAAGAGTAAAAATAGAAAAAAAGATAAGTTATAAGCTAAAATACTATTTGAAATAGTGTTTGAAAAATAAGTTATAAGTCAGTAAAATAAGCTATAAATTCGTGATGAAAAGACTATTACCAAACATATCTTCTCTTGTCATATGAGCTTATAAACTATAAACTATAAGCTCAAAATATGTCTTGCCAAACAGAATCTATAATTTATAACGACTTATAGTTGATAAGTTAATTATAGTGTTTGATAAAATTAAGAGTTCAATTAATTGATAAATTAAAATAACATAAAAAATATTTAATATATAATTATTTTATTTTAAATTAAAATAAATTATAAACAGAATAATAAATTTTAGTTAAAATAATAAAAAAATAAATAAAAACTATAAATTAAAATACTATTTAAAATGATGTGCTTCACTCAAGGTGTCAAATTCATACATATAAATTACTTATTAAAAAAAATATTATTTAAAATATCTTCTAAAAAATAATTTATAAATTAATAAATAAATTATAAATCTGTCCTAATAAAATTATTAAATAAATTATCAAACTTAAGATTTGGTATGGCATTTTTTAGGAGTACTATGTAAAAAATAAGATAAAAAAATAAAAAATGTCATACGACGTCTAAACATTTATTAAGTTTGATAATTCTATTAGGACAAAAATATATTTAAAATCCTTAATTTTAATAAGTTATTTTGAATTATTTTTAATATATTACTATGAAATAACGAAAAACCATTACCGTTTCTTCGCCGTTGAGATTTGAACCAAAGAACGAAGCCGCAAAACCCTAAACCTCTCTCTCTTCACAGAACGAAGCCTTACATGAAAGCTGGAGTTTCAGAAAATCTCATCGAAGAACAGCGTAATCGTCAATATGAGAAAGAAGCTTCTCATCTCATGCTCCTCCCTCCGCTCAATTTCCAACCTCACTCCCAAATCCAATCACTGTAACTTTCTTCCTTTTTCTCTTATACAAAATATTTCTAACTTTATTTTTAGGTTCTATTTGTTAGTTCCAGTTACTGTTTTACATTGCCGATCTTTGGAATCATCGTTGAAATTGGATATGAAAAAGGAAATTTATTGTATGAGCAATTATGTGATCGTGTTGTTGTTTGGCAGTGTCCATTGTGGTATGTGATTCTGTTGGATCATCAAAGTTGCACTGCCGTGGATGGTCACATGCTGCTGCTTGTGTTCCTTCTGAAACTTCAGATACCCGCCCCAAAAGAGGACTTAGGGTTCCCAAACATGTACGGAGAGCTATGGTGGAGTCTTTTGTGAATAAGTATTTTTCTATGTTTCTTTTGAAGTTGTTGAAGCTTTTGTTTAGTGTTTTATGAACTTTCATGCGTAATCTGACATCGTGTTTTTTTTTTTTTTTGGTTGCATATCTAATGTTTTAGTGTAATAGAGATAGTTACATGCATTGTCTCATACCTGTGCAGTTTTCTTGTAAAATTAGAATGGACTAAGTAACATGGATTTGGAATTTTAAGTTGAGTGTTTGTTTGGTTTCAGAAAATATTTTCTGTTTTTGTTTTCAGTTAATGTCACAAATTTCACTCTGTATCCTGTTCTCAGTTTTGTAAGGGTCTAGTTTTATAAGGGTCTGTTTGATTAAAGGGGAGGGAAGGGGAGGAGAGTTAGCTGTTTGGTCCAATTCATTGGAAGGGAGGAAAGGAGAATGCAGTGGAACTAGAATTTACTCCGAAGGGATTTTGCTCCCCTCCAAAAGTGAGCGAATTTATAGGAGAAATAATGTTTGTTTAAAATTGGACTTAAATATCATTGAATTTAATGTGGCATCAAATATTACATTATTACAAAAAGTCTATTAAGAATTAAAATCCCTTTACTCCCCTTGTTGAGTCAAACAACACAAACACATATTTAAAATCTTACCTCCTCCCCCTTTCTTATCTCCCCTCTTGTCACCTCTGTTGAACCGAACTGACCGAAAATGAAAGATCTTGTTATTGATTCATGTATGATACTTGTTTGCATTTCTGCTTTCATAGTTTCCTCAAAAAATAACAATTGTGTCTTCCTGGAGTGATCTCTGTTCTCTTTGCTTTCATAAAATATTTTGCTGCTGAGCTACAATGCTATTTGGACATTTAAATGACGTAATGTGTATATACATATTCAACCCCCTCAAAAAAACTAACCAAGGTCTGCAACTGTTATAGACATGCTTGAATAACACAATAAATTGAACTGTTTTTATGGCCATGCATGACCAAAACAATAAATTGAACTGTTTTTATGGCCATGCATGACCAAAACACTTGTTTGTATGAAATGTCCTGCTTAAAGCTAAACCTTTGTCTATGGTCAATAATAGAATAGTATGTTTATGTAAATTCTTTTTAAGTTGTCCTACCTTACGGTTTCTCTTCATTTAATGGTCTATTTCATGCTGAAATAACCAATCTCTGTACTTATTTTCACATTCTTGTGATGACTTTAGTCCTTGGGTTGCAAGAAGGCGTTTTTCATTTTTTATTTTCTACTGTTCAGTGATGATGAGCTAAATCTCCCTAATTATCTAACTGACGTAAAGAAAAAGTTTGACATTCTTAAACACTCCTTACTATTTTTCTTGAATTAATGTCAACATATTGAATGATCTCATTATTTATGGAATTTGGTTACCAAGTAAATGATTTATGTGTACTCCTTTTATTGTAGAAATAATGAGTTTCCTTTCTCTATGCAGGTATCGATCAGAGAATGCTGGAAAGCTCCCAGCAATAAAACATACCCAGAAAGAAGTTGGTGGCAGTTATTATGTTATTCGGGAAATCATTCTGGAACTAGAATACAAATCCAAAATGAAACCTGTAAACAACATTGATGAGATATCAGTGGCAAAGCTATTTGATGAAAGTAAACTCAAAACTGCTGAATCTGTTGATGTTTCATCCGGTAAAATTAAAAAAGTCAAAGATGGTCCTATCCAAGATGATTTTCAGTCGGAACTTTTAGATGGCAAAAAGAATGAAGAAAAGGAAGGGCCACAGACTTCCTCTTGGAAGGAAAGGTTGTCTGAAGCCGAAGTCATTTCTACACCAGTAAGCATCGACAATAAACACTGATTTTACTAATGGATATAATACAGTTGTTATGCTCCAGATGAGTATATTTTTTATGCTTCAAAGGATATTAACATTCTTGCTTAGGTGTAGGATGACCCGAGTCATGGTGACAGTTCCAAAAACCAAAAGGAAAACGGTTAATAATCATACTTCATACTTAATAGTTGCACTGCTTCGTTTAAATATATTACTGATACAAGAAGAGATTACTGCTGCTTTTGGTGTCTAGTTTTTCAAAGCTTTAGAACAAAATCCACTGCATTGTCACTGTAATAGATATTATCCTATTAATAATAGATGTATCCTATTAGGAACTCACACATAAACAGATCTGATTGGTCTACTCCACTTAGTTGCTCAGCATTTGTTTCTATGTTCTTAGTTACACCTTTTGTCTGTTCCGGCTTCCTATTACAGCTCTGGATTTCTATAATATTTACCGCTGTTCTTACTGATTGAGTCATTTTTATGTCTTATTAGTTTAATTTTCTTTTATTGGTCTATGAAACAAGAGCTATTTTAGTAGTACCTATGGGTTTCTTGTAGTACTTATAATTTGCTTCCTATTTTATTAACAGGATGATCGTTGCACCACATCTGACAGTAATATTTTGGAAAAACATTTTAAGGACTTCTCAAGTCCCCAGTTGCCAAACGATGTCAAGACTGAGGAAGCTGTCTCTAGTTTTTCTGACTCTGTTGCACCAGAAAGTCAGTTGATTCAATTGGAAGCAGAACATTTCAGTAGAGGCCATGGATCTGAATTTGTTGGCATGGAAAATCATAAAAAAATAGAGGAACAATCCATTAAGAAAGCAAGTTATGACAGAAGGGAGCAACCTGCTTTGGAAGACATGCATGGTGAAGCTTCCCATTCTAGTCCTCAGGTTTCAAATGATGTCAGGAGTGATGAAGCTGTATCTAGTTGCCCTTCTGATAATGTTGCACCTGCAAGACACCAGCCGAAAGAAGAAATAGAACAGGTTTCTGCTCCGATAATTGAAAAATCTGGCAGTAGTAGCAACAAAGATCAGATCCATGATTCTAAGCTTGAGAAAGCAGGACATGAGAGAAAAGTGCAAGATGGCGCACAAGACAAATCTGGTAGGGATAGTCCAAAGCATAAAAAGGAGCTATCTCAAGGGTCTTTGGAATTGGATGATTCGAAAATGTAAGTCTTCTAATATATTTATTTATTTACAGCTTCATTATTATGACTATTGTGGTGTTATTATTTTCATTATCTTTTGAAAAATACCTGCACTAGTGTATGCCATTTGAACAATATAAATTTGGTTTAGTGATGTTACCCTCACATGTCGTTGAGAATAAGATTTTGGTGCTGAATTACAAAAGGAAATAAAGAATAATGACATAGAAGAAAATAAGGAAGATAATATCTCGACGGTAGTTAAGCATTTAAATATTCCATTTGTTCTCCTATGTGTCTGCTTAAAATATTGATATACAATTTCTAAGCACCAAAATAAGTACCATGTAGTAAATTTACCTTCAACATTTATTTATTTAGATTAGAGCATTTCTTGAGTTTATTAGAACTTATATATGTTTTCTACCTGGAGTATGCATTAATTAATGGATATTTTTTATGCAAAGAACATACAGCTATGTTTTGCATTAATTTAAAGATCACTTGATTTATGGTAATGTCGTATTATTATTTCTAGTAATGTTGCTATAGGATATTGAGATTGCTTTCATTCTCCTAACATCCAGTGATAGCTCTAACAAGAGGGAGAGCAGCGGTGCAGTTGCTTCAAACAAATTCAGTTTGTGGGGAAATCTGAAGTCATTTGCAGATGGCATCTTAAATATTTGGAGAAAGTTATGAATCTGCGCGAACTTATGTGGTGCCAGCTTAGCTTGCAGGCAGTTCAGTATTTTTGCACAACTTTGACTGTATGTGTATGGTTCAAAAGATGCACAACTTTTTTCACCCTGGCATCCTTCAACATCTAGCCATGTTTCTTCTGTGCTCCACCTGGCTTCACTTCTCTGTTTCAAATGGAGCACATTTGCAAGAGTTTATAGTTCTACTATTCCATTACCCCCATTTAGGGTAAAACCAAAAGCACTTTGATTCCCAAGGAATTTGCCTCCCATTGTAAATAATTTGTGAACAATAGAAAAGGAAATGCATGATATTGCAATTAAGATTTAAATTTTCTACTCAAATTGTGTTGATGGATACGAGTCTGAGCAGATGAGAAGGAAGATGTGAGATTGCAAAGTAGCCAAGGTTTGTCCTTACATTTACGATTTTGTATTTTGGAGAGCATTCAAAGAAAATATTCAACTCGAGAATATGACCGATTTTCAAGGAATGCAATTTTTGTCTCATGGAAATGAAGACTCAGAGAGTAACCAAAGATGGTTTTTTGAAATACTATATACTTTTTAACTTCCACATTAAGTATAATGATTGCTTATCTTCCTAACTATATACTTATATTCTGTGCAAACATGGAAAGCATGAGCACTATTTTGTGTTGTTAGAAACTACTGTTATTTTTGCGGCTAAATCACAAGTCAACATAGATGATGATGTGGTATACTGCTTATATTGGTCACTTTGTACATTCACATTAGAAACTCAATTATTTTCAAACATTGCCAGATTAGAATGTGATGTCCAACATTTATGTTTGGACTGCCTACCATGTGTTCGACTCACATGTTGCTGACTGTGTGTGGTGTATGACTTGGTTAACCTTGGATTATCCTTTTATAATAATTAATATGTATATTTTGTTACTGGTATTTGGCAAAGGGAACAACAATTCAGGTTATAAATGATGTGTAAAGCGGGGTATTGTTGAGTTTGCAGGTCTACCATCCCAATGTCATCAATAGCAATTGGGATTATTTTTTTCTTGATGCAATAATAGTATTGAGTTCTTAACTAGAATAATATACAATGTTTCTAATGTGAAATGATAGTTTAGTTGACTGAGATTGTGAAAAAGCAGTCTCTAATGTGAAATGATGCAAGCAATGATGTATAGTTATTACTTGATTTAATTTCAAATAAAAGTCGTTTTTATTTATTGAAGGCAAGTGCATTCTTATTTTCTAAAGAAACGTTAACCAGAGTTTATAGCTTTGTGGCAACTAGGGTTCTGAACAAGAAAATGTAAACGTGATCATGCCTGAATGTGTGGGAATGAGAGGCTCTATTATTCTGCCGAATTGTTTGTTGAATTGAATAATACATTTGCTTAAATCTCTTAGGATGCACTCACAAATATTTATATTTTGTAGCAAACAAAGATGTATGGTTGATTTTGCATCACTGATTACATCAAGTTGCTGAATCATTTGCACAGCATGGTAGTATAATATTGATAAATGACAGATCTTGGTTGATTTTGCAAGTTAACTTAGAACTCGCGTATGTTTGATAAAATTTATTCCTCAACTATTTTTTTTTTTAAGTAAAGCAATGTCAATTTTATTATATCTGATTCTCGTATCTCAGTTTATTTGACAGCAGCTTTTGATATCACCTATCAACTTTAGTAATTTTTTTATCAGTATTTTATAACTGATCAGCTTTTTATATTCCATATCTAATCGGTAGGAACTAAAATGCTTTTAGGATATTCCAATTCTTAAAACATCTTAGCAGCATGTCTTAAGGAATAATTGCAATTACATTGGTGATTAGTTAATAGTGGATCTCGGTGACTCTATAACACCTGAATTATAATCATAATTTAAACTGAGCTAAATATATAGGTGTATTTGTCAGACATTGTTTGCTTGGCTGATTGTTGGTGTCATTTAAAATAATTGTGTGCTTCAAATAATTTACTGCATTCCCGAAAAGAGGGCCTAAAATTGGGATTCAATGCCTTGTTTGCTTTTGACTTGTCCATTTAGTGGCTCCATGATAACCGAACTCCTACTTTCCATTAGACCCATTATTGTGTGTAATCTAACCAAAAAAAAAAAAATTGTTTTGGTAATTTCTCATTCCACCCTATAGTGCAAAGAAATATTTTATGCATTTTCTAAACTGTCTTGGAAATTAGAAATATGTTTCTAGTAAGTATTTTTTCTGATCAATGTTGTTTACAAATCAGAAATATATTTTCGAAGAGAACAAGAAATGTATTTCAGGTTACTATGTTGACAGAACCAGAAAGAATTATATTGGTAGTAGGTCTTTTTTACGCGTTGTTTTGCATTGAGTGCAAAGACGTATACACCAAAACATACTACAAAGACATATAGAACAAAGACATATATAAATATATATTAGTAAACAGTACAAAAGGTGTCCGTAGTCAATATAGGGGGTAACCCAAAATATTATCCAAATACAATAAAAAAAGACAATAGTCGAAATACATATACAACATAAAGTACTATTGGGTATGGCGGACTCTGGATCGGCCCGTCACCCTCCTCGTGTTCCTCCGCTGCCTCCTTTATTGCAGAGTTCTCCGAGCCTCCTCCATGATGGCATCCAAAACACCTCTAACATCCGAGCCATCGGAAAATAAACCACCATGAATATCCGTCCGCGTAATCTCCATGATACGACGACACCTAGGCAACACATCAATGACATGATCGACTTGTGCTTGCTCCTCCTCTAGAATCTCTTAATGAGCTGACCTCAAAGGGTTTCTTTGAACATCATTTACCAGGTATGAATGAGATACCTGAAGAACCATATGATATAATCGTCCACGTAGCTTCAGTCATCTGGAGCAATGGTACTCCAGACCTCATCTGGAACAAGATGATTATCATAATCATCAAACAAAGCATCTATATCCATGCGTTTCACCAGGGGAGTAACAGATACAACAGGATCCCGAGGAATGGTCTGAGTGTATCCGAACTGGCGCATGATGCGCTCAGGCATATAAGTTGTCGTCTTGTGCGACCCGCAAGCCAACCATCCCGTAAACAACGCAACATCATCAAATGATATCGTGACACGGTGGTCATGGTATGAATGGAAGTGTATGTCCTAAAACAGCGTCCGTTCAATATACACCTGAAACGACTCTGTCGCTTGGTTCCCTCGGAGGGGGTCATATGCAGTGGCACGCGACTTAGCTTCAGTATAATCAGTAGCTAGTAACAATAATTATTAATTAGTAACTTAATCACAATAATTAACAAAATGTCACATAGACCAAGACATTTTACCGTCAAGAGTGTGATGTTGCCAGTCATCTGCTTTGTCTTCCACTTACTTCCGTCAGACAACTTTGTATACAAGTACACCAAACAAGCAGCCCCCAGTTCCACTGGTGGATCTGCTCAAAATAATCAAATTACCAGGTACATCACATCAGTGTAAGTGGCACTAGTGTCTATAAAAATATGTGTGCCAACCAAAAACAAAAGTTATGCTCTCATAGCCCGACTTGGGTGTAGGGTAACATGCTCGGGATCACCATCAGCCAATCGTGCACGCCTTATCTCATCCATGAACACCATCTTCAAATAACTATATCTAACATGGACACCACATGTAAAGTCCAACTCAACCATGGCACTCTCAGGGGTCACTCCCAATTTCTCTACCAACATATCCAACGCCTCTTCTTTGTCAATCCTTTAATGGTCTAAGAGTTTCCCTCTAATCGGGAGATGCAACAGAGACGCGACATCGTCCAATATGATCGTCATCTTACCATGTGGTAGATGGAATGACGACGTCTCATGGTGCCACCTCTCAACAAAAACGTTAATCACGCCATGATTAACGACGCTATAACCATACTCGGTCAAATCTTTCAACTCTGTAAGCATCGACAACTCACCAAACCATAACTCAATAAGGGGTACTAGTTTACTGATCTTTTGCCCATGAGTAATGACCTTCAACAGATCACGTTTCTGCATTCATGATTGACAAAATTTATTCAACAAAAATCCATAACAAAAATGTAATAGAAGGAACAAGTCAAAATTCATACCTCTCAGTCCCATATATATCTAGCAACATGGTCCTAGTACAGAGGAAGTAGAGATAAATCAGACGGTCCTCCTCCAAAACCCTAAGGCGTCGCAGATGCCACCTCAGTGCCGCCTCAGGTGCCTGAGATGTCTGGGATGCCTACTCAGGTGCCTGCTTAGGTGCTTGAGATGTATGGGGGTGCCTGCTCAGGTGCCGCCTTATGTGCTTGAGATGAAGGTTGTAGTTGGGCCCGAAGTATCAGTTGTGTGACCTCTGGTGTCGGCTGGGAACCAGATGCCTCTCCCATCTCAAATACCATCGGTGAGGAAATGCGTCTACGGGATGACAAAGGCGGGGATGGATGAACTGGAGAATCTCGCCTGTTGTGGGAGGACGATGAAGTCGAAGTGGAAACAGGAACACCGGAGGCAGAAGCAGTAGTACGCGCATCCGACATAGTCTGTTTAGAGGTAGGAGGAGCCTGAGATGCCTGACTCCTTTCTCTCTGCATAAAATCATGTTGTGCAAGCCGACCATGCCTCAATCTAGATGGTCTCTCTGTCATTACTCCTATAGAAGTACGAAAAACCGTTAACACAAAGACCACTTTTTAAAATGATGGGGAAAATAGAAACAGACTAAAACCAGAAATGCATTTTCGATTTTGTTCAAAATGAAAACTGGAAATATATTCCCGGTTCGACCTGTAATTTCAAGCTCCGTCAATGGCAAAGCAGAGGCATATACAAGCTCAAGCAAAATGCCATTGATCATCTAAATGAGCCTTCCAACAGTTAACTAATGATGCCTAATATTAAAAACAAACAACAAATTCCTAATTTCTAACCTAAAACAATAATTTGAGTAGAAATTACATAAACTATAAATAACTCAAAAACAACTTACAA